TCCAAACACCACATACCACATGAATGAAGTGAAGCTCTACAACCCGATCTTCAATCAAACATCAACATAGTCAACTTCCTAAAAGAAATTAAATTATATAACCTAATTTAAGCCTTAACTAAAATGTAAAAAAAAAAATGTAATTCAATAACTAATAGCCTAGTAGCCGATGTTTTTATGTTCAATTAAAAAAAAAAATTTCCGCTCGAAAAGGAAGATAGGGGCATAAGTTTTTAGTTGAAAATAACGCTGTAATAGATATCGCAAATAATATATTAATAATAAAAGATAAAAATGTACTAAGCGAAAATAAAATATGCTTCACATTAAAACCACGAACGGAAACTATAGTCAGATTCCAATTGCAGATCCAGATATGGAAAATAAAAATATTTTAATTAAAAAATAACAATTATCAGATTAATTTTATTACACAAATATGTATAAGGGGGACGGAGTGGCCGAGTGGATAACGCGTCGGTCGCAACGCGCACCGTCGCCGGTTCGAATCTCGGTCACGGGTGGCACTTCTCTCCGGGCAGTCACGGTGTCTGGAGAGAGAGGCCGCCATCCCCCAACCGGGTATGGCAGAAACCTACGGGTGCCCACTAGAAATTCTGCCAAACAAACACACACGTGTTCCATAACCCTACAGTAACCCAACAGTCCCAAAAACCCTACAGTACCACAACCTACAGCTAATGGCCTCAGTTGCCGAAGCTTAAGATCAATAAAAAAAAAAAAAAATATATGTATAACACAGTAAAAAATGGAAAGATTATGGTTAGTATAATAAATATATCAGAAACTCAATAGGATGTCAAAGTAGGTCAGATTCATAAAATATCATATGAATACGATATCGACACGAATACGCGCGAGCAAGATAATTAATTTAATTAGAAGCGATCATTTAAACAATGAAGAACGTGAATCGATAATAAAAATTTGTGAAAAATACGCAGATAAATTTTATTTAGGAAACGATTATTTAACAATGACAACTGCTGCCGAACACGTAATTAAATTATCAGCAAATCAACCACCGATACACCGAAAACCGTATAGGTTACCGCACGTGCAAATGCCAATAACAAGCTTAAATAAATAAATAATTGAAAAAGAACTATTAAAAATGGAGGAATACGATATAATTGAACGTAGTATGAGTCCTTTTAATGCACCATTATTATTAGTAAAGAAAAAATCCAATGCATCAGGGAAAGAAAAATTCCGAGCATTAAATAATGTAACTTTAAATGAATTTCACCCTTTGCCTAATATCACCGAAATATTAGATCAGTTAGGTCAGTTCCAGCTTTTATCGCTGATAGATCTTAAAGCAGGGTACCACCAACTTAAGTTAGCTAAGGATTCTAGGGAGTATACAGCTTTCTCAACGGGTCAGGGACACTATCAATTCAAAAGACTAGTCGTGGGACTCGCGTCAGCTCCGAGTGCGTTCGCGCGTATGATAGCCAACATTCTGACAGGTTTAATCGGAATAAAATATCTAGTGTATCTGGACGATATAATAATATGCGATAAAAATCTAAACGATCATAATAATAAACTAATCGATGTATTCGAACGGTTACGTATACATAATCTAAAAATAGAACCAGATAAATGCGAATTTCTTAAAAGAGAATGTCTTAGGGCATATAATTTCGGAACACGGAATAAAACCAGATCCAAATAAAATTACTTCAGTTATGAATTTTTCGGTACCAAAGAATGTTAAACAAATAAAAAGTTTTCTAGGTCTAATCGGGTACTACCGAAAGTTTATAGAAAATTATACTTCCATAGTATGTCCGATGACAAATCTATTAAAGAAAGATGTAACATTTAATTGGGACAATAAATGTCAACATGCGTTTGAGAAATTAAAAACAATACTTTGTTCAGAACCACTATTACAATATCTGGATTTTACAAAAGAATTTATATTCACGACGGACGCTGGTGGAAAAGCGTTAGATGCAATTTTGTCGCAAGGAAAAATAGGAAGTGATTTACCAATTTAAAATGCATCACGAACATTAAATAAATCTGAATCAAATTATCATATTATAGTATCGGAAATAAGAAAATATTATAATTTTAGAACGGGAGTGAATTACGAGTTAAAACAAAAAATCGGTGCGGATAAAAATTAAAATCGGATAAAGACGTAGGAAAATTTGTTAAATTTAAATATGAGGACAGATATATATAATTTTTTTGATAACCAAATGCAAACAAAAACAATTAACAACGTACTAAAATATGCATTTAGCACTATTAAATTTAAAATACTTTTGTGAAAAACATAAATTAAGTAAACTGGCCATGAACCAATTAGAACACAAGAACGGGTTAGAATGGAGTTAAGGCAATGATGTGATATGTATACCGTAACACGAAAATAGAAATAATAATTTGTACTAAACTATAATATAGTAAGGAGGAGAAGATAACTATTTTCAAACAATTCCATGATTCTCTTTTAGGGGGACATGCTGGGAAACATGGGACATATAGAAAGATTAAACGGCAATTTAACTGGCCAAACTTAAAGAAAGAAGTAAAGGAATATGTAAAAAACTGCGCTTCATGCCAAACAAATAAAAAAACGAACAAACACCGTAGGAGTCCAATGGTAATTACGATCACAAGTTCTAGACATGTCGAAAAATTATTCTTAGATATTGTAGGTCCTTTAATTGAAACTGATTCAGGATTTAAATATATCCTCACATAACAAGATGATTTAACAAAGTTTTCTTTGGTAGTGCCACTTGCGAACCATACTGCGAACACGGTTGCGAAGGAATTTGTACACCAAATTCGTGTGCGTTCACGGGATACCACAAACAATTTTGACAGACCTAGGTACGGATTTCCTTAGTAAGATTTTTACTGAAATATGTAAGTTAATAAAAATAATTAATGAGATTATAAAATAAAACGTAGTTATAACGTAGATAAATCGAACGATTAAATAGTGATATTTATAAGCTAACCAGGCATGCTAATAAAAAGAAAAAATAATAATTAATTCAAACAATGTTGGCTAGGTCGATAACTTTTGAGATTATGAGTAGTTGTCTACACAGCCAATTATTATTGAATAAATAATAATCAACAATAAATAAATAACAATTAATATGAATAATTGTATATAAAAACGGAAAGGGTAAATATATATATATACACTGGTAAATTTCATAATTAATCAAGAAATTAATAAAAAAAAAAAAATGTTTAAGACAAATATATCTATTAAAGGAAATATATTAATATTATATAAAAAACGGGGGAGGAATTTATTTTTATTGTAAGAGTAACCAGCAATTATAACCAACAATGTAAACCATATTAATTTTGTAAATGCGATACGCATAATATATTCTATTCTATAGGACGTGGTAATCAATATTATTAATTACGTAAAATGTAAGCCCATAAAACTGTAAAATGTAAACATATAATAATTGTATTGTAAACAAGTTAGTCAACTTGTAAATTGAAATTGCAAAAAAAAAAAAACTAATTGTATTGATGTTTTAAAGATTCCTGTCTTAAGAGACATAAACCTTTATTTTTAGGGGTGAGGTGCTATATGTACTGACGTCCCGCCATATACATATATACTCAAGGTAGGCAAGGGAACGCCGTAGGATTGTCCAAATAGACGGGCTGGGATGTCATTGACCTCGAGTAAAGCTAAAAAAGGCTAAAATAACAGTAGAATAGTTAATTGAGTAGTTCTGGGAACTAGACAAGGGAAATTGCGTTGCGAAATACATACGAATATAAAAAACTAGAAACGGTAGCACGAATTTAATTTAAATAATAAATATCATAAAATAATTAAATAATAAATATTATTTAAATTAAAGCCAAATAATATAATATCGAATCGTGATATCGCAAGGCGCGAAGGACGATGCCATTTCCTCGAACCTGTACGCACACGTGCTATAGTAAATGTGGTCGGCGATATCTCGTCCATGGCAGAACCGCCACCCGATATTCAGACGTGATTTGTCAGAGCCAGTACAAGCACCTTCACGCCAGTCGACTCTCTGAGGACATTTCAGATATATAAAATTGTTTCTAACAGTATTTACATTCAAAATAAAGTCTATATGTTCAAACTTATAATATTCACTTGAATTTATTACACTTTGTCGCCAATCACTCTTGTACATCAGCATTCAGCATATTCTGTAGGCTGGATCACTACAACCTGTTGAGGGTTGGCTATTGCTGAATTAAAATTTTTTTTTAAGTTCAAATTGATCTGTTTACAATACGATTATTATTTTAATATAAATTACTGATTCGATTTTTTTCAATTTCTATTTCATTTTGAGTTATGATAAACAAACACTTTCAATTTCAATACACATTTAGAAAGTTATAAACAATTATTTTCAATTTCATTATAAATGTTGAATAATATTAACATGCATTTTCGATTTTGTTACACCTTTTGATCTTTTTAAAGATTTTTAACGACATTTATCGATGTTTAAAATTGATTTTCAAATCGATTTCAAGCCTTGGTTTTATTACATACTTACTACGTTTTATGAATTGAGTTGAAATAAATAAAAAATTATTATGTATATATAATCGCACATTATAATCTACAATGTAAAAAATATATATATATTGATATTCCACCAAAAAAAACTTTAAAAAGGTAAAAAACAACAACCTCAAAAATAGAAAAATAAAATTGTTAATACAAAAAAAAAACATGAACAAAAAATGCACTTGTATTATCAACAATAAAACAATATTATCATACATTTTATTGTGCATTTAGTTTGGAAGATGGTTATAATTGAACATACAAGTATAATGTACATTTTGGCCAAAAGACGAGCATTCAAGGACGACGAACTACGGTATCGTAGGTGTTTATTTCAAAAAATCAATTCTACGTCAATAATAAGCACGCGCTTTTCCCTCTTCTTATCCGCTATTTTTCCGGTATAAATAGAAGCTATCTGCAGTCAGAGCTTCAGAGGTACATCACTCATCGTCTCAGCTGAGCTGTATACCAACTGCACAAGTTCAGATTTTGTCAGGTAAACAAACATTACGTGTATTTTTTTATTCAAATTTGCAAACACATCAGTACATTTCTAATTCGTTTTTAAGTATTCAAAAGTCAAAACTAATAGTTTTAATTTATTAATTTTGTGTTCCAGTCAACTTCATTAACTTACTTACTCTGCCTATCGTCCACGTGCGCTCATCAGAACGCGATATTAACCAAGTCCAGCAATCCCGATCACTATACAGAGCAAGATGAATAAATGCCTATTGATTCTGGTAGTGGTGGCGTGTCTTTTGGGAATGATCGAATTGGCGTACGGAGATTGTCCAGGAAATTGCTGGTACTACAGGTCGGAGGCAACCAAACATTGTTCTTCTCCAACAGCGACCAATGAGTGCAGCGGTTATGACCTTTTTGGCCTATGTCGATGTTGGTGTTGTTAGACTTGTCTTGCTCGATTGATTCATAAGTATGCCAACAATTTTATAATGCACAGATGTAGGTATTTTATTTTACCCGAATTCGGTGATGATTATAATTTATAATTAATACTATGCTCATGTTTTGTTTTACGGATAATGGCTATAATAATAAACTTTGTTATTTTATAAGTTATGTTTATTATGTAATACTTTCACAACTTAATCACAAACAATATAAAACTAAATAACTATTTATTATTATTTGTCTTAATACTTAACAATTATTTTGATTGTAATTTTATTAATCATAAGATACTGAAAAAGTAGGTATAATACTGTATGAAGACATCTATTTTGTTTTTAACTAATGAACATTGTTAAACATATCGATTTACTGTTGTGTTAAATGTTTGTGTTGCTTTTGAATAAAATGATGTACACTCATATATCTAAATATTATATTTCATTCAATTTTATGAAATTAATTCCATTTACAGTAGTTAATATTGCACTATTGACATATTAAGACAGCATGCTGACTTATTAATATCATTTTAGATAGCTATATCCGGTGATACGATAAAATTGAACTGTGATTGATTGTGGTCCGAACGTGGTGTAGGTGTGGGTTGAGTTGGCGAGCAGCACAACACAACCACTTTATGTACAATAAATGCGATATTTTATAAAGTATATCCAAACAATAATATATCAGAGTCTACGAGTAATGAGTATTTATCAGACATAAGATGTCTATGGGGCAAATAAATAAAAGTACTTAGGGATTAGGGAATAAAAAAAAATAAACATAGTGATAAAATAAATTCTCCAAAAAAACTGTATGTAAATAAATGCTAAGTCAATTAAATGTTTTAAAGTACGCACTGATTCAAAAACAGCAGGTCTAGTACAAAAAAATTCTTTAGTTTCAATGTATTGATCTCAGTAGTAATAAAGAGAGATGACCTCGTGGTGGTAAAGACGTTTCTATAAGAATGCTGGAGAGAAAAAATTAGAACAAAAATTATTGATGTATAAAATTGGTGACATCACAACAAAAAAGCTTCGTCAAACTACGTGTAAAAAACTGCTAAGTAAAAGAAAACAGATCTGTAAGCACTATTATAAAGAATAGATATGATATCATAAATAAATGCTAAGTAAATTGAATTAAAGCACACTTATTTTGTTTCAATAATTTATTTATTTGGCTAGAAATTTTTTTTGATTAACAATGTCTATTAAAATATTTTAAATTATAATGAACTTTCAATGTTTTGTGTTTGTTTTGTTCGCGTTATTTCGTATTTCATGTCATATAAAGTAGATCATTCGTCGCCAATTATTGAAACAAAATAACTGTACTTTAATTCAATTTACTTGGCATTTATTTATGATATGATATCTTTATTGTGCTTAAATATCTATTTTTTTACGTAACCGTTTTTTACACGTAGTTCGACGAAGTTTTTTTGTTGTGATATTATTGTTTTTTAATTAATTTATGTTCATACATAATATACCTAACATACTTTGTATGTGTGTTCGCTCTTTTATTGTATATTTATTTTTACAGAATTAATTATATTTACAATATTATATAAATATTACAGTATCAGAAAAATTAAGATTGTAAACTGGCTATGCTAGAAGACAGAAATAATGTTTTTAATAATGTTCATAATAACTGCACCAACTAAATATTCCAGTTTCCTGTTAACTGACAACGATTTCACCTAGTGTGACACAATCGACGAGTCAGTACATACTCAGTAATTAGTTAATCGTTACAGTTAACCGGCAGTGGTTATCGTTGCATTTAAAATCAGCCCTCACATTTAAATTAAAAATTGAAAAGAGTATCCACGGGTCTCACCAATATCTCAAAAATAAATACAATTGATATATTTCAATTTTTTCTTTTGTCAATATTTAGATCTTTATTTACCAACATGAATTGTCTAATCTAATTCGAAATATCGCAAGACTCCCATATTCCTCTATAACCCTAATAACACAAGGGGATTTTGAAAAACAATTTTCCGTTCATTTCCTAGATGGCTAGATGAAACCAGTGCTCGAAAACGTTTACATAACGTTATACTAGTAAAAAAACGATTGAAATGGATAACAGAAAACAAAACGGTAAACGGTTAACGGTAATATTAAATTATCATTAAACAAAACGTACCAATAAACGACAATTTTAGTAAAACAAAAAACAAAACAAAATGATAAACCAATAATTTATAAAATCATAAAACAAAACATAACAGAAAACACAAAAAATCGTGAATTGATAAACGATCATTAAACGTTATAGTTTATTTTCATAATTTTTACGTATTACGTTTATAATATTAATTAATATTTAATAATATTAAATTATTATAATGAACATTGACGTTGTGGATGATTTCAATAAGATTAAATTCCACCAATAGCGTATGGCATTCTATGGTTTTAATTTATTTTTAAATTTGTGCTCGGTTATATTCTGTGGATATGCAGGTATAATGTAACATATTTATTTGTATTCGGAAATCAGTGAAATCGAAAGTCGCCGATTTAAAAATATAATGGAAAATAAATGTTTAAAATAACAGAAAATGTTACTTCACATTTCAGGAACCAATCGGAATAATAGTTAAAATCATAATTCATAACTATAAAAACATCGACAATAGACGTAATATTGAAAATGATAACATTATTTTAATTGTGAAAACTTAATAGGTACTACATCATGTTTTAATTTTTAATGGTGTTAAAAATTTGAATGTAAAAATTAAAACGTTTTAATTTTCAATAATGATGAACAGAATATTTGAATAACGTTTAAAGTTCAAATAACGATAAACGTAAAAATATAATAACTTTTAAACTGCCAATAACAATAAACATAAAAAATGTATAATGTCTTAATTTTAAGTAGGTAATGTATAGCACAAAAATTGTTTTACGGTTTGATACTAAATAACGTAAAATGAATTTTTTTCCAAATTCGAGACTTGGACTTAAAACAAACATTTTTGAAATTGTTTTTTGTTTTTGCAAAAATTATATTTTTATTTTGTGTGTGTGTGTGTGTGTGTGTGTGTGTACACGATATTCAAACAATATTATAAGATGTTGTAAGAGAACAATTCACAAATTTGAACTGTATACAGTCGTCAGTCATATAATTGATTTTACGTAATTTTTACTCATTGTTCGTCCGTATTTGATAATATGACTACGCCATTGTTTAATTTCATTCATAAATGAAAGCCTATATATATTTTAATTTACGTTGATAAATATTTTGCACAAGAATAATTTTAAATAATTTAATATTGGGAAACAGAAATTAATATTTTATAAAAAATAAAAATAAATGTTAGTTGAATTTTATACTCAGAAGAAGTGAACAGTGATAGCTTATGTAGGTATTGAATATATATTAATACATATTATTTCAATTTACTAATTTCAAAATATTTCCATTTATCGTACCGTACACAATAGAAACCATCAAAGCATGCATGAATAAACAAACAAATAAAAACAATATTAATAGTTTTTTTTCTTTTTACTTCGTTAAAAATTTGAAAAAGAGAATTAGACTGTATAAATCACGTTTAACGTACCCCAGATTGTAAGTTTGACCTAAGACTTGATTTATAACAATTCAGGACAGCAAAAAACTGGGTGTATTGTGTAAATATTCTTTGAACAGTTTGAATTAAATAGGGTATGTTAATTCTATATTACTGTCACCCGTTAAAATGGTCCGATTTAAATCGTACCTATTGTTTCTGGATTTTTTGTTTGTACTGAAACTATGATAAATTATTACCAAATGACGAAAAAACATATCATACATATATTACAGACAACGCGTTGATGGACGAGACCATAAACGCTATGAATTAACGAATTTTAATCGTAAACTAAATCAATTAAATATAAAAATATGTTGAATGTTTCATCAAAAAAACTTTTATATTTAAAGTTTCAACAATGTTTTGGAGTGTTTTTACAACAATTTAATCGTTTTTGTTTCCAAATTGTATATATTTAATTTACTTTTTAAAATAATGTTTTAGTACCTTTGCCTACAATACAAGATTTTTGTACTCAATATTTACCGGAATTTTATAATATTTTTCATCAATTATATTATATTAAAATATATGCATATAAAGTATAGTCGGGTTAAACAGCTTAAAATGGATGTTGGTTCATCAAAAGGTAATAGACTAAAAAAGTACTTGACCGTTTTAAAAAAAGTTGTATCGATTGATTTCTTGAGGCTTGGAGGGTTTTATCTTATTTTTTTCAACTCCTATGAGAAGCTAAAAGGTAATTCACACATGATTATTTAAGTTTACGAAAAAATAAATTTTTTTTGTTTATCCAAATGTATGACATTAATACATTATATAATAGTAATGCATCATAGTTAGTACAATTAATATGGCTTACACATTTTTTTTGTATTAAAAATTAAATTTATTAAAATTTACAAATATATTTATTAAAAATACATGTCTTTAGCCTGGGCAACGTCGGGCAGAACAGCTAGTATTGTAAATAATATTATTACAGTGATTATCGAATAGGTATTAAAAATGATTGCCAGCACAGATAAGTTTAGTATGAAATCCATAACATAGTTGGCTTTAAGTTGATTCGATCCGGAGTTATAAGATTTATAAATCAATTATAAAATTAGACATATTATTACAATTGTACAATTTCAAGTTAGTTCTCAATCAAGATAACCGTGAGCACAACCATTTCGATGAACACAGAAATAAAACACCACTTATTCACGCCAGACGATTAAGTACAACAATAGTAAATGGCTTATAACAATAATATATTGATCAGATCCGAAGTAAGAAGATATCTAATCGATCCGCAAGACAGGACATGACAACATAAGTATACGAGTATACCTAAACTATTGTACCCTAATAATACGAAGGAAAATAAATTAGCACTATCGTTGGGACCTCTCGAGCTGTTAAGAAAGTATTAAGCTGATAACGTAACAATAAGCTAATTATAAACAATAGGATTTCAC